AATAAAATATTTTGATTAAAGCAATTCAGTACTTTCACAAATATTACAGAAAATACTCAATAAATAAAATAATAACATGACTTTTTAATCCTTGTACTTGAACGTGTCTTCACTGTAGTATCTTTATTAGTGTTTTGCATACATGTTAATGCCTTCAGTATATTAATTTACCCAAAATAACAAGAAACCTGAAAAATAAAGACCACACTGTCTTTTATACAAATTCTGACCTTTGCGACTGTTTTTAATCTCACAGAAAGATGCAAAAGAAAAAAAACATTATTTCAATGAAAAACAAACAGAGGAGCAGCCACTGGACAGAAGTAATATTCAGGGGAGCAGCTTTCCCCGAGGGGCCGCAGATAAAATTAAATAGTGGACTGTCGTGTTGCGAGGGCCAGGTAGGAAAGGTCAGCATGTGACAAAAGTTGCTTGAGGGATTTCACTGACCACAACAGAAGGTCATGAAAGCAACAGAGGACCAGTGGCGCAGAAGAATGAAATCCTCGTTTCCGGGCTTCCTGCAGAATGGCTGACTTACAGAGAGTTACGGGACAAGGACGGGGAGTGAGTACACTTTGTTGCTAGTCAGCAAAATACTGGACTGCTATTGCACTGAACCGTCATGCTAACAATGTCATTGTGAGCATGGAGACTACAAATATAAGTATGGAGCTCAATTGGTGCCATAAATTTTGGAAAAAAAATTAAACAGAAAAAAAAAAGGCTCAAAACTAGTTGTCTAGTTTTGTTGTTTTTCCTTTTTTTTTCTTTTCTTTTTTCTAGTTTCAAACCTCTGGCAGCGTTTGACGTGGGGGCGGGGCTTTAAATTATGGGGGATGTGGAATCGTGACTGACAACTCAACACAGAAGCTGGACAAAATATTCCCAGCTGCTGCATTCAGGAACCGTAGGAACTGGAAATGTCTTTAAAACATTATTGATGTTTATTTACTTGTTTATTTATTCATTCATTTTATTCATTTATACATTAGAATAAGAAAAAAAATCTATACACAACAAAAAAAGCAAAACACAATTTATAAATGAAATGAAAGAAAAACTTGTAACATCTGCCCCATTTTTTTCCCCTCAAATACATTAAAATCATAATAAAACAAGCCTTCTACAAACTCAAACTTTAAAACAAAAACAGCATCAGGTCCAACACTTTATGTCGATACTTTGTATCTTTTTTCCCCAAGAAACTAGCTTTTATCATCTTTTTAAATACATACAGGAAATTGTTCTGGAAGTTTTATTATCATTATTAAGATTATTCCATAAACTTACGGTATTCCTTGAGTTACTGATATTAATTGATTAATTAGTATTCTGTGTGTATGTGAAAAATCCCATACAGTACTTCACTGACATAAGCTACTAATGTCAGTGAAATGTCAAACGTACCTTTATTCCTGATATTCCAATATGCATATTTAGTCAAATAAATAAAAGAAGCTTGGATGTCTTAATAAAAAGATAAACGTGATGAATAAAGTGTGAAACAAAAACCTCTACAGTTTCCATCCAAAGTTTCAATCAAAAAAACGTTTCATTCACCTCTTTGTTTGTGTAACATTAGGTTTGCAAACGCATGCTCTGGTAGAGAAGTAGAAATGTTTTAACATGCAGGTGGACTTCATCCAGATTGACACACACACGTAGGGTGAGACAGTTGGAGAGGACTGACTGAACACACGTCAAACTTGGCCAGAAGACTGAAAACAAAGCAGATGTTCGCTGCTCCTGCCAGCTGCCGAGGACAACTATAAAGAAGCTGCACATCAGTGTGTATTAGTGTTACAGACTCATCTCGGATGTGTCTGAATCAGCAAACATCTTCAGAACTTTCATCCAATAAGACGTTATTCAGTCAGATTACTGGCACGTTTTATGTCCAGGTTTATTACAGCATAGATTCTTTGCTGCAACAAAAGCTCTTTATTATGTCTGTCATTCCTAAGGAGTGAGATGAAGGCTTTAAGTTAGTTTAACAAAGCAAATGTTGTAGCTTGTGTCATTTCAACAGAATTGAACAACCGCTTCGAGTTGTTTTCCATTGAATTTCCAGAGAAAGTTGCATTATTTCTTACCAGTAGACATTAATGAAGCCTGCTGAGCACATTAGCCCATTAATAATATTACAGATTAGCCTGTAATGAACTGGCAAAATGAACAAAAGAGTGTTCTGACCCTGGTGAGACTGGTCTCTTATCTAACCTTTCCAGGTACAAACAGCCGACGACACAAGAGACACAGAGAGCTTTCTGAACAGCACATGTAATTTTTAGCAAACATTAAAATGGTTGTAACTATGTCAACAAGATCAACAGATCAATCAAAGTAAAACGCTGTACTTTAAATTGTGTATTTTTGACAGATTTTTGTACTCTTCAATATCTAAAAATAAATAGTGTGTGTTTGCCTGTGTAAATGGCTGCTAAAATTCGCATTTTACAAGAAAATTGAAGAAAGCATATTGAAGAACACTTCAGAACCAAACCTACAAGGCAAAATTTGTCTGGCCCAGTTCTGGCACACACAAGGTACTAACACTCGGCCCACATTTCGCAAAGAATGATGGCCCTCTGGTGACCCAAATGTGGTTTGCTGGTGGTGGCCCATGTGGGACAGCACCACAAAGACCAAACCACAGCTGGATCAGTTCTGGCATTGACCCATATAAAGCAACTACAACTGGTCCAGTTGTGGCATTGATAGATTTGGGCCACATAAAGCAACTACAACTGGTCCAGTCGTGTTATTGACAGATTTGGGCTACATAAAGCAACTACAACTGGTCCAGTTGTGTTATTTACAGGTTTGGGCCACATCAAGCAACTACAACTGGGTCAGTTGTGGCATTGACAAATTTGGGCCACATAAAGCAACTACAACTGGGCCAGTTGTGTTATTTACAGGTTTGGGCCACATAAAGCAACTACAACTGGGTCAGTTGTGGCATTGATAGATTTGGGCCACATAAAGCAACTACAACTGGTCCAGTTGTGTTATTGACAGATTTGGGCCACATAAAGCAACTACAACTGGGCCAGTTGTGTTATTTACAGGTTTGGGGCACATAAAGCAACTACAACTGGGTCAGTTGTGGCATTGAAAAATTCGGGCCACATAAAGTAAACCACAACTGGACCAGTTGTGGCATTGACAAATTTGGGCCACATAAAGCACCTACAACTGGTCCAGTTGTGTTATTGACAGATTTGGGCCACATAAAGCAACTACAACTGGTCCAGTCATGTTGTTGACAGATTTGGGCCACATAAAGCAACTACANTCCAGTCATGTTGTTGACAGATTTGGGCCACATAAAGCAACTACAACTGCTCCAGTTGTGTTATTGACAGATTTGGGCCACATAAAGCAACTACAGCTGGGTCAGTTGTGGCATTGACAGATTTGGACCACATAAAGCAACTACAGCTGAGCCAGTTGTGTTATTTACAGGTTTGGGCCACATAAAGCAACTACAACTGGGTCAGTTGTGGCATTGACAAATTTGGGCCACATAAAGCAATTACAACTGGGCCAGTTGTGTTATTTACAGATTTGGGCCACATAAAGCACCTACAACTGGTCCAGTTGTGTTATTAACAGATTTGGGCCACATTAAGTAAACCACAACTGGGCCAGATGTGGCATGCTATCTTAAAAACAGTGCCATCATTGCCAAACCTGGCTCACATCCAATGGACATGCCAGCAGTCAACCAGCAGTGCCAGCTTGACACCAGAACTGGCCCACACCTGTCTGCTATGTGTGTGCCTACATGGGTCTTAAAATAAAAAGTGAACATGTGACACAGCATTGTTTCGTCATCCACCTTCTTCTATATTTGTCCATAAATGTTCTCAGATCCTCATTGGTGCATCTCACCTTTCATGTTACAGCTCGGCCTCGTTACTAAGCTCCTCTGAGCTGATCTGTGTACACAACAGCAAACTAAACTGATGTGCTCATAAAAACCCAAATGGAGCAAAGATTTGAGGCCATTCATCTAGGCCAAGACAATAAATGCAGCTAGTTAAGACAAGACAAATTACCGAGTCATACTACGGCAGCAGAAATCAGGAGCTGACAAAGAAGAATGGTTTTCAGCGTTCTCCCTCGCTTCTTTTCTCACACTGACGAACATACACACACTGGATGTTCCCTCAGTAATGAATCAACTGTGCACAGTAAACTTATTGCAGGGAGAAGGTGAAAAGATAAAGTTTGAAGAGGAGGCTGTCAACAGAAGACATTTTCAGAATCATGAGTAATTGTGTTAAACATCAATTAAAACAGTTATCTGAGCGAGTGAGTATTTTAGCATCAATCAGTCTTAATCAACACAAAAACAGCTGTCATTTTTTCAGCTTTATTTTCGATGAGTTAAAGTTTGGTGTTGTGGCAGCTGAGACTCATCCCCAACACACACACTCTGAGCCTTCACGTCTTACAAAATGTCAAACATGAGGTCTAATCCCAAAATTCAACAACTACATTGTCCCTTTTCATCATAAAGTGGTCTCACTTTCAAACTCTGGCATGAAAGGCGGCAGGCGGTATGCATTCCTTCAAGAAATGCTGGGCATTTAATCATTAGTGTTTCTGCCAGCAGAATAAATGTTCTGTAGTCAGCAGTGTGCAGGTGTGTTTTCATGAATCTGCATGTTCATTCGGAAGGATGGGGGTCTGCAACGCCTCAATGAGTGCAGTGTCTCAGTGAAGAAAGGTCATTATTGTACAAATGGAGATGCATAAAGCAGCTAAACAGCAGCAAAGAAGAGACCGAGTAGCTGCAAAACAGATAAAGAAATCAAAGAGTGGAAAAGAAAAAGTTCTACATAAAAAAAACATGTTGTAATATTAAGAGATTTGATAAGAAATTTTACCATGTGTGGAAAAAAACTGATTTTTTTCCCCCTATTTTTACACATTTTTATTGCAAACTGACAGTGAGGGTGAAAAGGCGGTGCGTTCACTGTACTTACTCAGCATTAGCCATGATGATGAGTGATGGAGAAGGCAGCAGTGTGGTGGTGCCGTTCACGAGGTCTCCACTCACTTCTGCCCGTTTTAGAGCTGCAGTTGAACTCCCCACCTGAGAGCTGCAGCTTTCATGTCACAGCTGGAGAGAACACAGACGTCTGAGCTCATCCCAGTGTTACAAACACACTCATTTACAGGAATAGCACCAGGTCAGCAAAACTAATATCTCAGTAGTTTGCTGTAAATGCTCCCTGCAAAAAAAAAAAGCTAATTCTGTATACTGGATGTTTCAGAAGTGTCTAATCATTTCAGAGGTTCTCTAAGCTGTTTTTGCTAAACTTAACACCAATGTTTTTAGTTATCAATATGGGGCATAAGTTCCTTCATAGTTATGAGCTGTTTAAGAACTATTTTAACTTCATTTAAGGCTAATAAGAGCCAAAAATGCAAAAGGGATATTTTGATAACCTCTGATTTAAGATAGGATAGTGAAAATGTTAGTTTAAACTAGACATAGTGACTTTGGTTTTTAACAAAAAAATAAACAATAAACATTAGTTAAAATGTTAAAATTAGTTATAATAAGTTGTTGCTTAAACTTTAGAGTTAAAAAAGGAGAACACTTGCTAAAACTAACGGAAACAAAATGCTGTCTAAAAGTAGCAAAACACCAGCTAAAAGCTAAATGTGGCAAAACGCTAGCCAGAAGCTAAAAGTAATAAAATTGTAGCCAAAAGAAGAACCCAAAAAAGTAACTAATATCTAAAAGCTAAAACCAACTAAAGGCTATAAACTCAAAGGCAAAAAAGTAATAATAATAACATAAAAAACTATGATGAAAGTAACAAAAAATAGCTACAAGTATAGCAAAAGTCTGGCTAAAAGCTAAAAGTAAAAAAAGGCTAATTAAAAGCTAAACGCAGCATAAGAATACAAAAACAGAGCAAGCAAATTGAAGTTGATTTAAATTACAAGGAACTGAATGGATCTCTGTGTGTTTCTGTGGAGTTAGGTTAAATATTTATTTAAAAAGTAAAGGAAATCACAAAAACAAATGTCAAAACACCCATCTCATCTCCAGCATAAATATGACTAAAATGGCAAGAAAAAGTAAACCATGCTGGGTCAAATATAAAACTAACCCTGCTGAGCTAATTTAACCCAAACTGTGGTTCTGTAAAATAACTTTTTTTTTTTAAAAAAAGAGGTTAACTTTAAGTTTTGGTGCACTTCATCTGCTTCCAGCTCTCCAACATTTGTCAGTGTGCAGAGCTGGGTGTCAGACTTCCCACGCTCCTTCCAGTGTGTGTAATAATAGCTCCGGTGATAAACTGCACTGATTTCCTTAAAGCTGTTGGAGGCGTTGAAAGATGATGGCCGTGCACGAGATCCCCCCACCCACCCCCAACTCTTTGAGCCATAATTAATCATCCATAAGAAGCAAACAGACTCACCAGGGTGAGGTTTACATGGTGTCTCCCTGCAGATAGTAACGTCTCCCTCGGTGGTGATCAGGGGGAGGGAAGCAGCAGTAGCAGCAGTGGCAGCAGCAGTAGCAGCAGGCTCTCAGTGTGTGTGTAGGCTGCAGCAAGGATCCTGGCCACTTCTGCACTGGATGAGCTGCCTGCGCCGCGCGCCTTTTTAGTGCAAAAACACCAAACAGATGCCAGAAGCATCGTCACTCCCACATATTATTAGCGTCTTCCTCTTCTTTTACGTGCTGTACCACGGTGCTGGGTTTAAAGGCCCCTTCGTTTGCCTGAAAGTCTTATTAGAGCGGGATTTAAGGAGAAGAAGGAGGGGAGGAGGTAGGGGGGTTCAGGTCCAGATGCGGGTCCAGGTTGCGCTCGGCTCTCTGCCCCCCTCTTCTTCTTTCCAGCTGAGGGTTTCCCCCGGCGTGCACAGCGGGGTGGGGAAGGAGGTGGGAGGTGGGGGAAAGAGGAGCTGTCCAGGTGCTGAAGCCTCAGATCTCTCTCTCTCTCTCTCTCTCTCTCTCTCTCTCTCTCTCTCTCNTCTCTCTCTCTCTCTCTCTCTCTCTCTCTCTCTCTCTCTCTCTCTCTCTCTCCTTTTAACGAAGCCCCCCCAACCCCCAGGGCAGCAGGGAGGACGAAGACGCGGTGGATCTCATCCGGAGGAGACCAAAAGCCCGATGTGTCCGCGCCGAGCCCGCTCACTGGCAGCCAGGCAGCCGCGTGACATTTGCATCGCTCCGGTCACGACGAAGGCTGTAAAAAAATAATATATAAATAAATAAACGATAAGTAATGATAACACAAAAAGAGAAAAAAATCCTGGCCGTGAGGTGGATCTGTGCGTTTAAGAGGGAGGGAGTGGGAGCAGTCCGCGTTTTGAAGCCTTGAATGTGAAAACGGATGATTTTTAGGATCTTTACGCCTGGTTTGCTCGCTCCTCGCTCTGTGTGTCATGAGAGGCTTCGTTTTTTTTCCTGGTTTCCCAAAATAAAGATACTATGGGAATATAAACTGCCTGTACAGCAATTGGCCTATCCGTGTGTCATTCATGGGGATCAGCCAGTCGATGGTTAAAGCGCACATCAATCAATGTGGAGCTGCTGAACGTGGGCTGCTGCTGCTGCTGCTGCTGCTGCCGCTGCTGCTGCTGCTGCTGCTGCTGCCGCCGCCGCTGCTGCTGCTGCTGCTGCTGCTGCTGCTGCTGCTGCTGCTGCTGCTGCTGGGGAGCAGAGAATAAAGAGCAGCAGGGGTTTGAAGTCACTTATTGCAAAATCAAAAAATAAATAATGGAAAGAAAGCAAAGAAAAGGGGTGTCAGATGGTGCAGTTTAAAAGATTTAACTGCAAGTTTTTTTTTTTCAGATATATTGATTTGCCATTCTGAAATGCAGGTATGTATCCAATGTAAACAAACAAAAAAAAACTCTGCTGAGTGTACTGGATGCCCACTTGAGTCATGTGACTGGCACACCTTAGTCATCCTGTAGGGAAGCAAACACTATTTTTGTTCACTTTGGCTGTTTCAGGTAAACAAAAGGCACATGGTCAAAGCCTTTTAGTCACAAATTGAGCTTAAAAAATTTCAATGACATATTCATGATCAATTTAAATATAAATAAACAAATAAATAAATAAATAGATAAAAGTGCCAATTTCCTATTAATGAATCTTCTAATAACCAATTTTCATGACTTTGTAATGAGTAGCTTTAAATAAAGCCAATAACATGACAAGACATTAGTCTCTCAATATTCTTCATATCAAGTCATTTTTGCCACTATGTGACAACGCTGCACTAATTATGCTTGCATAAAAATTTATGGTAAGCCATTGTTGCATGTAATCTAAATGCATGGCAGGACATTTTTACATATAATCAAATGTATGTCCGGTTGTTATTCTAAAGGTTTGGCAAGCCTTTGTCGCATATAATCAAAATTTATGTCAGGCCTTTGTTTCATATATGTGGCCATTGTTAGCTAATCAATGGGTATGGCAAGGATTTTTTTTGCATTAATTGTGTAGTAGGATGCTGTTGCACGTAATTAATAAGATGGCATGCCATTGTTACAAATAATCAAAAGTATAGCAGGTCATTATTCCATATAATCCAAATGTATGGCAGGCTGTTGTTACATAAAATCCTAAAGTATGGCAGGCCATTGTATATAATTTTAAGATATATGGCAGGCTGTTACATATTATCAAAATGTATGGCAGGCTTTTGTTACATATAATCATACAAGTATGGCATGTGGTTGCATTATTTTGGAGGGGGGAGAGTACAGCATGCTGTTATAATTAATCAAAAAGTATGGCAAATCATTGCTGCACATAATTTACAAGTATGGTAGGCTGTTATTACATATAATTTAAAGCATATGACAGGCTGCTTTTACTGCCGAACAAGTAGCTCAACACTCTTACATAGCTATTCTTTTGTCCAACTAGATGGAGCTGGTTATACCAAGCCAGCTTTTTGTTTTACTGCTTGAAGCAACTTGTTGCCTCATTTCAATTTCTGTGTTTACAGTTTTATCTAGGAAATGTGACAAGTCAAAAAAACTCTTCAGGTCCAGTTTTGAAGGGAAAATTGTAGTTAGGAAGTGTGTGCAGCCTGCTTTCTGGGGGGAATTTGATACAAATCTTGAATGCAATCACAAAGTACAGTCACACAAAGCACCACTTTGCATCCAGTTTAAACTTTGATGTTTCTGTTATTTATAAGCTCCAAAACCTTTGAGGTTTTGCAATTGCTTTGGCAAAATCTCCTTGTTGTGTGGGATTTACTTTATTTTATTCCCAGTCGAGCCACACGTTTTGATCCATTTTGCCTGGGTGTTTCCAAAGCTACTGGAGGAAACGTTAACCTAAACTTTTCAAGGAAACAGAGTAATAGGTGAAGTAATAAAGGTGCTTTATAGTGCCGCTTAGGCATTGGCAACCTTGATAACATTAAAAAGCACATGACTGTGACTTATTGAGAAAACTGAAGCATAATCAATGGGATTTGGCACGAGTTAAACAATATAAATTACACTCTGAATACCATTTTAAAAATCTATACTGGCATTTTCATATTGCAGTAAATAAAAGTAAAATCTAAAAAAAAGTTAAAACTCCTTAACTCTCAAGAAAAGTAAATTATTGAACTTTATTTACTCATTCTTTCAACAATATGTGCTGTAAATTTACAGAAAAGCTCAATTTAACACTATTTATCAGTAATGTTCAACAAACATCAGTGACCCTAAATTACAAAGTCTATATGGGAAATTGCACCATTGTGTCATTTTTGACTTGGTCAGAAAAGAGAAAAAAGAAAAGAACAAAAACAAATGCAGAAATCAAGTGACACGACTGTCTGGAAAAAAAAATCTCCACATAAAGATTTAACTTTTTTTTCAGAGGCCAGAATTCTTTTAAAATATCAGCGGGTAAAAATCACAGCTTTCAGAAAATTTTTATCTAATGATTGAAAATAACTAAACAGTCATGCCTTAATAAGCATAATAAAACAAAAAAGACTCCATATTTAGCAGGTAATGACTCAAAAACACCATTATCCCCTCCTGTAGGTTTGTAACAATTCAAAAAGGCTGAATCCTGACAGGGGAAACTTTAGTAGGCCAAGATTTTATTGAGGTAAAAATAAATGTTTATGTCAATCAGCAGCCTATACGTCTTGTTTCTTTCAGGTTAAAGAGTTTTATATTAGGCTGCAGAAACTGAGAAAAAAAAGCATTGTAAAGCTCTGACTGAATGTTTCTGTGCTCAGCTGTATGTTGTAACAGAATACCTAAACTGCAGCTGAATGTTGGTAAGGTAAATGAAGAACAGAGCCAAACCTGCCTTATTTTACCCTGATTGAATGGATAAAAAAGTGCAATCAGAGGGAATGATCTGCCTTAAATGTCTGTGAAATTTGCAGAGTAAAATACAACTACTTACACAACAGAATTTGCTTTTTTAATGCGAACTGTGTGAAACTCACAAGTTTTAATATAAAGCTGTGTTCACACAGTCTCCATTCCACTCCCAGCAGAACTGCACTTCCTGCTTTGGAAGTGCAACTGAAGACAACATTATTATACGTCAGGTTGTTTCACTGTCGCTGCGGTACGGTCAGCCAAAATGGACCACGGACATGACGGTGGTGTACTCGTGCTGCAGGCTGTCCGAGTCCTCGTCACACAGTGTGTAGTCATCTTTAACGATGCGGTCGCAGCCTATCTCGCCGTTGCCGAACAGGCCGAAGAGCGGAGTGTTGGGGAACACCTTGTGAAAGGCGTCCGCCTCGACGTTGGTCTGGTTGCTGTAGTAGTTCTTCCCTCTGCCCACGCAGGCAAACATGAAGCCCAGCGTGTTTTTCTCAGGGATCTTCGCTGCCTTTAGCCGTCGTACCGTGTCTTCGGCCGCCTTCGCGTTGCTTACGTCTTGGTCCAAGAGCACGGAGGCTCCCTGCACTTTAGGGCCACTCAGAGCCAGGCCCATGGCACCACATACTCCCTGGCCACAGCTGCAGAGGGAGAGGTGGAAAAAATGAACCGAGTGCTACAATCAGAGTCGTCATATTTATAGCGCATCGCGTGAACTCACCAGTGTCTGGGAGGAGAGAAAGTATTTTCCACCAACCCTCCTGCAATCAGAGCCTTAGTCTTTGACAGCGGCTCAAGAATCTGATTGAGGAACCGCGCTCCTCCAGATCTGTACGCTTCATAGACAAACAGCAGCACCACACGCAGCTCTGGGTTCTCAACAAGGCCTAAAAACAAAGTGCAACTACAAGGTAGATAGGATTTGTATTTGTCTGTGAGGATTACTTGTATTGTTCAATGATTCAGCCATATTTACCGTATTTATTCGTGTATAATACGATCTCATACATAATACGACCCCCCTTTTGAGCTTAAAAAGCATTAAAAATTTTAATCCTGAAACTACCTCCAATTTCATACAGAAAGATTTTTCAGCCTTTGCAGTCTTTATACATATCAGTAAAATGATCATTGGACTGTTTATTTTATTTTAACAACATATGTACTAAAAGGTATTTTGACAACAAAGATATATCAGCTGTAGCAGCATCATATGAATTCTGACATTTTACACATAGTCCACCAGGAGGCGCCAACACAAAAGTCAGAGACTTCACATGAGATTTGGGCCATCTTCTGGGGGAAAAGCAGATTACTTCCTACTCGCGAACGCCCCCTCTGGTGGGGAAAGTTTTTTCAGGGATACAAACATTTTTTAAAACACCGGTAGATGCCAGCCATTACAGACGAACATGTTTGTTGTTGTTCCAGCAGTGGCCCGGTCACACGCTAATGTCATTAGTTTGTTATCATTACTGAACTGCAGGACTGCTTTTTTTCCCCTTTTTCCACATCATGTCGCCTGCTTGGATCTGTTATTATCTCACTCTGAAGCACGGAGGAGTGTCAGAGGTGAGCTCGTTTCAATTGCTTTTTACAACGCGGTCTCATTTCCGGACTCAATTTTGCCGATATTTCACATAAGTAAAAATATTTATCAGAGTATAATACTACACCCCAACTTTATGGATGATTTTATGGATTAAATTTTATGCATTATACTTGAATAAATACAGTAAATTTTTGTGTAGAAGTGTGGGGGAATACATATAAATCAACATTACAGCTACTAATGTTGCAAAAAAAAAGCTGTCGGAGTAATACACAATGCTAGTTTTCTTACACACACACACACATCTATTATTTGTTCGAGCTAATTTATTGAAATTGCTGGACACTGTGAAATATCAAACCTTACTATTTATGTATAAAATACGTTACAACTTGTTACCTAAACATAATCAGGAAATGTTTTATGAAAGGGAGGGTGGGTAAAACTTGAGGGGAAGTTTGGCTTTGAAAATATGTAGTACCCGAACAACTATGAAAAGATTTTGCATCACTGTAATTGGGGTTAAATTATGGAATTAACTAAATATAGAACTAAAACAATGTCCAGGCATAAACCAGTTTAAAAATAAATACAAAACTACTTTACTCACATTGCACAGAAGAGAAGGGATTTAACATTAATGAGGTTTTTTGTTCCTTTCTTTCTTCTGTATTAGGTTACTATTATCATTATTGATATTGGTGATTGTTATCTTAATGTCATTATAATCACTAGTTATTTTCTTTTTTTTCCCTCAGTGGTCATTTACGATCGTCATCAGCATTATTATTATTATTATTATTATTAATATGAAATCATATATTTTCTATTTTTCCTATGTTATAAGAGTGAGTTTGTAATCATTTTGTCTGTGTTGTAATTTGTTTGTTGGCACAGTATGTTGAACAGGCAAGAATACCATAACATGGTTTCAACTGCACATTTGTAATTCAGTGCATCTGTAAGTAAAACACATTAAATTGAGATAAGGGGTACGATTAAATAAGTGCTCACTTCTTCCTGCTCCCTTTCAAACAGAAAAGTAGTGGTATTTGGGTTCTTAGTTATGTATACATTTGTTTTTTATTTATTTGTTCTACTGATCGCTTGTTTTTTTTATTTTTTAATCTGTTTGAAACATATTTTTCAAATAAATTAATTAAATAAATAAATAATTATTCAGTAACTTGTGAGCCTCTACTCACCTGCCTCTCTCAGTTCCGTCAAGGAGATGGTTTTCTTACAGAAGTGAAAAGGCTTGATGTTAACCCCCTCGATGCTGGGGAACATAAGTGTGAAGCCTGCCTCCCCCTCCTGGTGCTCCTGAGGTGGGTTGGACCAACTGCCGGTCGGCGTCACTGGGGCAGAGAGTGAATCACAAAGCTCCATAAAACTACAACTTGTTCTGTATGCTGACCCCCAGACCCTTCATCTGTTACAGGAGCTTTCATTCACATCAAACGTTAAGAAGTTTTAATGTGAACTATTACAGCTTTTACAGCCTCTGCTTCAGTCTCCGAGTCACCATCTAGTGGTCATGAGAGGAACTGCAACTCAAGTTAAATGATTCATTTAAAAAACTGTGCTCTGAGAACTCTGAAAAACAGCCCCACTATAACTAATATCATCAAGAGAAAAATGAGTTTCATTAAAAAAAAGAAAAGTCAACCATGTGACTTCACTGGGATGGATTAACGACACAATCACAGCCACTCGCAGATCAGGAGATGTTACTATGTAAATCAGAGAGCATCAGGCTGAACTGCCATTATTAAACAACAACTCATTGCTTTCGGCTACATTTTTATTAGACTGAAAATTTTAGGGTTTCATTTATTTCTGAGCCAAATTGCTTATGTACAACCGAATTAAGACAATAAAATACAGATTCATTCAGGATCTGGTAAATGTGGCTAATTACTGTCATCTATTCTCATGTTGTCAGTGTCTTTCAGATTACAAGGTTATGCTAATCTGTTAAAAAACATTTTAATTTTAACAAATAGACAACTGCGTGGACACCTTTTTGTGCGAGTCTCTGTAATTTGCAACAAGAAGCAAGAACTTTGTGTCATTGTAAAAGACAAATAAAATATGAACTCATTGTTTTCAAATTAGGCACTGCTTCATTTGTTTAAATTGTCCCACTTCAAATCGGGTCAAAGATCTAATTTGCTCGTGCATGTCGACAGAAACAAAATCCCTGGTGGCAATATAACTAAATGTGTCATAAACGGAGAATGCAGCCATTAAAGATGACAGAATAAGGAAAAAAAGAGCGAGTTAAGTCATCAATTTGAAGGAAAAAGAATGTGGCTGACGAAGAATGGCTTCTCCAGAGGGCTGTAATTATAAGGAGAAATGGGAAGCACGGCACCAGGCGCACGAGGCAATTTGTCAAAGAGATGCTGAGATGTGAGCCACCAGAGGTACTTTCCAAGTAGGCAGCAGCTGAGGGGAATATTGTGTAGTCCTCTCTGCTGAGGAATGAACCATTTATCTTAAAGAACTTATTTTAAAAAGGTCAATTTCATTTTTAGATGGACTACAAATGAAAAAACTTAAGACTATTTAATGGTACCATTAGAAGCTTGAAGTAAAATATTCGTGCAGGTTTTGAACAGATGCTAAAGCATCGGAGCTCATATTTATTTAGCAAAAATGTTTGTGGAACATAAATACTTTGTGTTGATTTATAGGCAACAATGCATTATGTTTATTTTGAGACTCAAATGTATCTGGTTTTCCTTAAAATCCCTTAAAGACAGCAGAAAAACTTACAGACGATGCCTGGGGTTGTGATCCCAATGAGGTCGCAGCCTTTGGGGAAAAGTTGGTTCAACTCTTGCACTGAATGTGAACTCTGACGGCGCTTTTTAGCTTCAGTGTTCGGGGAGTGGGGGGAGAAGAAGAAAATAAACTATTAATTAGACGTTAATTAGTGTTTAAAAGTCCAAATGTTTGAATCATGCAGTAAACAATAAGGAGACATTGACTTACTGTGCATGACAATGTACACATCTCCCAGTAAAACTGCTACACACGTGTTTTAATTGTGCATGCTGTCATGATCTAAACCTTCCTGAGCCTCAGTTAACTTAAACAAAAACTGCCCTGCAGCTGAAAGCACATGAAGGAGGACACCCCCTCTCTACAAATTAGAAAACAAAAGCAATTTAACTTGTCATTTTGGTTTAATTAATTCTTTTAAACAAACCCAAGTTAAAAAATTAGTTCGTTAAATTGTAACATGATTAAGTTGTTGTATACAGCTAATTAAACACAGCGATTAAAGCAGGGGTCTGCAACCTGCGGCTCTGGGGCCACATGTGGCTCTTTGAACATTTGACCAAACATAACAGATATTTTTTGTTTGTTTTATTTTTTATTCTCACAACATTAATAAACTTTATGCAAATATGTGATCAATACTACCAATATAAAAAGTAAAACATGTTAGCTCATGCTAGCCTGTTGTTTACCTAAATCGGGGGTGCCCAAACATTTTCTCCGAGGGGGCCAAAATGAAAATCTATCGGGGGCTGCGGGCCAAATGCAGTTATATAATACATGAAATACAAATACTTTTTAAAGTAAAGTCCTTTATTTTTAATGATTAAGCTGTGCAGTGGCCCTCTTTTGTTTTAGTCTGTGCACTTGGAGAAAGTTTGCTATGCGCTCAAGTAGCAAAGGCTCATGGGACATTTCATAAATTGATTAAATATGAGTTTTTGTGGCCTTATAAAGTGTGAAAATCTACATGTGGTTAAATCTGATCGAAATATTTCTTGTTGTTGTTTCATGTTTCTTGTTTATTCCTAATAAATCAAAGATGTCAGCACCATGACTGAAAACTACCTTCACTACAGCCCTTTTGTATAGTCATTTGACCAATGAAAATACTGTGTTTCTACATAGGGTAACAGGTTACAACCTTGTAACTTTGGCAACTGTTGGTGGGCCAAATCAAATGGCTTGGTGGGCCAAATTTGGCCCGCGGGCCCCACTTTGGGCTCCTCTGACCTAAATAATCCCTAAATAATCCAACTTTCTTTCCATGATTTTTCTCTCAAATCCATCTGGGTTATCTTAAAACACCTTTAGGACTACATAATAATAAGAATTAGGGGGGGAAATGTCTAATTCAGCTGTATTAGTTTTTATGAAATTCTGTATAAACTATAGTCAGCATTTTTCATGTCACATGTTTTTTTTTCTTTAGTCCTGAAGTGTAAAAAATAATTAATAAAATTCACAATATATTTTTTAGGTTTATGTTACCTCCACTGGCCATAAAGGTTCACAAATAAGTCTTGAAAAAGGCCCACGAACCACCAGTTGATAATCACAGCTGTAGCTTATTTTGCGTCTCTGGACAGATTTTATTAGTGAGCCGAGGAGCAGAAATGGCTCTTTTGATTGTAAAGGTTGCAGATCCCTGGATTAAAGGGACTTCCTTGGACTCATTTTGTCTGTTAAACAGAGTAAATTACAAACCTTTGTTCTGTGCAAAGCAAAAGTCTTGTCCATTGAAGGTCTCACTGTCTACCATCATTAGAACTGTTTTAGGCACGAGGAAGACTTTCTGAAAACAATCAGAAGCAAATTGAACCTGTTAAAATGTTCAATGAGAGTTTATTTATTTAGGAACAGTACACAACAATATTGCATGCTAAATAATGTTGTCTTGTAAGTAGGCTTAAGCCCCTTTTCCACTACTGCCTCTACAGCACGGTTCAGCTTAGCTCTGCACAGTACAAATCAGTTTCCATTATCCAAGATTCGTGGAACCGGCCCCATTTTCAGGACCAACTCCATCGAGGTTCTAACTGTAGTCAGTTTAGGCTTATAAACAAACTAAACCACCTATGCAAAATATAACATTAATAAAGCAATGAAACAAGACACAATGACATAATACAGAAATACTGTAGATGAGAAGAAGAGTAAACATATCAACCAGTTATGAATTTCACATTTTTGTTCGTCGGAGCCATTGGGCCTCATGCAAGAACATGTTCGTATTCTTATCCTAAATTTCTCTTTTGTTCGTACGAAGGATTCATACGAACATGTCACGTCAGATTCAACAAACTCTTCTATCTTCAGGAAAAGTGTGTAAATGAGCTGTGTAAATTCCACCTGTTCTATCCAGCTGCTCGTGCACGCGAGAGGAGATTAGCATAATTACCACCCCAAAAACACCATATAAGGCTATGTTTCCTGCTCAAGGAAGTGTCCATTCATGAAAAATGACAGCGAAAACTAAAAAGAAAAACTTTACGAGTTCAGAGATTGAAGTC